TCAATTTACAGTTTTATCTTAAAGAACCAGCCATAAAACAGAAGTAACTGTGTGAAAAACTCAGATTTCATGTATAAAAATAAGGTTCAGATAGCCTTTACATGTGGCAAAATCCTAAAATATAACTCAAGAGACTCAAATAAAAAGAAAGCCAAAAGTATTCAACAGTTAAAATACATTTTAAGTTCTGCTGCATCTCATAAAAACAGCATGAAACCTCAAAGGGGCTAGGAAGCCACAAAAAAACATGCAGACTGCTTTCTTTTAATACAAAACTAAGCTGTATGCATGAAACCTATCTCTTTAAAACACTTCAGGAATTTTTTCTTTCTATACAAGAAGTCATCATTTTGACTATACCCTTGTGAGGCTCAGCTGCTTTTGGTTGCTTGGACAGTGCCCTGTTGAGATGATTTTTCACAGCACAACTTAAGAGCAATCAAATTGCAGTCTCAGTTTTCTCACTAGCTCAAAATACCAGTACCATATTTTTTAATGTGAACAGTTAATTTAACAACAGTCTCTTCCCCCATCCTTCTGCTTCATGGTCCCTGTATTTTTTGGATGCATAAACCTGCCTTCACAACTGCTTGTTCTCTCATTTCCTGCCCAATCAGCCAGCTCTGACAGCAATACTCCTGCTACTTGACATGGCATGGCTGGAACACTGGCATTTGCCTGGAGAAAATCTGCAAATGTAAGGCTGCTTTCTTTTTGGTTGTTTTGTTTTTGTTTCTTTTGTTTGTTTTTGTTTTTTTTTTTTTTTTAATTATTCCAATTCAGATCTTAAATCAGCATTTAAAAAGACACGAAGGCTGCCAAGTACTGAAGGTAGCAACCAACTCAGATTTTTCTGAAAGCATCTTGTGGCAGCTGCAAGTTTGTGTTACATTACTTAGAGCAGTAATTGCCTTTGGAAATTATATTTTCCTGCTTGTTGAAAAGATTTACCATGAGTAATCATAAAAATTCAAAATTTAACTCAGTAAGTGCTGACATTAGTAAGGAGATATAGAGGATATGTTTGGCAAAAAATAAGCAGAAATGGAAATGTACCAGCAGATAATGCAGATAATTTCTCTGACAGTATATTTTGATATCCCTCAGAACACACATGCTCCAGTGGTTCTAAAACTCTCTTATCAGCACAGTTTGCAAACTCTTCCCTGTCATAGGAGATCTCTCTCAGAAACAAGTACACCTTGCTAACCAATTTAGATTTTCATTTCTGTGGTTTCATCCTTCTTGTTATATTCCCCACGTACTCCTCCTTATTGGTACTTTCAGTTCTTATTTAGTCAAGCTCTAAATATTGTGATTTTTTTTTTCAGTGACATGACAATTTCCCACCATCTTTTATGTAAGAAAATTTGATTTGCCAAATTATTTTGAAATAGGTCACTTAATAGGTCTGGTGTCAGAAGCTGTCCATGAACAATTTGTCTTTCAATACTATCTGCAGAAGAGGAATTTTCAGATGTGGATTATTGTAACAATGAGCCAAAGGGCCCCTGAGACACAGTCATCCGCATTTGCAAGAAAGACTAATCAAAGGTGGCTGGATTTCAAGGCAATGTGACCAGCATTTAAAATCAATTTATACTTTTTGTTACTATTTGCTAGTAGAGGTTCTTCTCCTCTCCTGAGCTTTATTGCATTTTTTTCCTTCCATGCTGCAGTACCCACACAATGCTCGCAGACTGAAGTGAGGATGGGGATGTCACTCCCTGCTCCCATGAAAAGTTGGGTAGTGCATTTGAAACAGTCTTTTGTAAGACTGTGCATCACTCCTCCAGTAGTGATCCCATCAAAAAATGCATCAGCATCTTCTCTAGATGTGGCCAGATCCAGTGTGCTCACAGAGTACTGAAATGGCAGTGCAGCATCTGCAGCACCCTGGCACCTCCATTGGGTACCCCTGTGCCGCACAGATAAGTGATGCCACACAGCCCACCCTTCCTGCAGCTCCACCTGCAGCCCTGTGAGAGCCCAGGGCTCAGCCCTGACATGCACAGAGAGACAAGAGAACACACAGTTCCACAAGAGTGGAATGCAGCTTGCTTAATTATAAATGTCTATCCTGTGGCATAAGTACCTGACAGCTGGGTACCCATGATTGCCACTGGAGACCTGGTCAATACAGCTCATGTCATTTGGGCTACAGCTCATCTTAACAAGGGTAGGGTGAGGCAAATGACACCCTAAACACTGGTTACTGTAACAAATGCATCTGCACTACTTAATTCACACACAGGTGTCATCCAAACAGTGGAGCAACTCTTGGATTAAAAAAATAACATACCTCACAAATTGATAAATATCAACCCCTGAAAGGTTAACACTGAAGGCAGAAGAAAATAAGACTTATCTCATTGAGACCATCTGCTGTAGCAATCAAAGCAGTTAGAATTCATTTGCTTGCAGGAGTCCATAGAGAATATCATAAAGTAATTGGAGTCAAAATAAATTAGTTTATTTTGTTCTGCATGGCCAAAACCCATCCCACTAAGTTTTACCTACCTAAAGAAAGAGCACAGTCTGTTCCAGGCTTTTCTCCATAAACAAAACAGAGGTTGCTCCAAAGGGACACTCAATACTGCCTAAGATCTGGTTTTTCCTCTAAATGTGTCTACCTTTCACTGGCTACTAAATGAAACCAGGCTAGAACGAAGCTGGTGGCACATGAACCTCAAACAGACCCCAGAGACTCTCAGCAAACCAAGTATAAAAAAGTATTAACAGTCTGAGGTTCTACTTGCAGGGCTTTCCTCCCCAAATCCCTCAAACATGACAGTTATGATAAGCAACAAAACAGTTCACACTCGAAGCAGGATTCACTGTGGTTCCACTGCTAAAGACCACCCTTATTTATTCTTCCTAAGGGGGATCAGCAATTGCACCTTGGGCTCCTGCTGTGAGCAGCAAACCTTTCCTTCTGCTGCGACACAGTACCAACCCTGAACTGTAGGGAATGCTGGCAGATTGTGTGCAATGTTTCAGGGAGTCCAGTGCAGTGTTTTTCTCATTCATTACTGGCAATCAAGACATTTGAAAGCAAATGAGAGATGAAGAGCTAAACATTCATTTGGAGAGAGGAGGGATAATCAAAAGAATAATAGTCTTGTCTCAGATTTCGCATATGATTTTTCAACACGAAGGAACATAAAATTGATGTGTAATACATCTAATTAATATCAAAGTAATATGAAAATATCAAATAATACCAACTACTAATATTAAAACTAATATCTAAAATAATGCAAATAACATTTAGAAAGTCAATCACCAATGAAAATTTACTCAGAAAAATAGGTAATATCCACATTTTTTATTCACAAATCAACAGAAATGGCAAAAAAACCTGACAGATATGTTAGCTTAAAATTGACAATACAGAATACACCATTTACTGCACAATGCATGGGGCATGCTATTCTAAAAGACAACTATGTATTTTGACAGGTGACTGTGTTATGAAAGGCTGGTAATACTGACACCGGAGGACAACCAGTAAGGAGAGATGAATCAAGTAGTATGAGTATATTCCCTATTGATACCACAGAATTCACAACCTCTATTCTACGTGACAATAAGGAAATATCAAACGGCAAAGAAATGGAGAAATCCTAAAATAGAAATGCCGAATGTGAGACGAACAGGAAGTGAGGCACACAAATAAAGTAATGTTTTCAGGAACAGATAAGTGGATTCTCTGCAGAGTCACAGATTTAATGCCCTAATTCTAGATCATGCAACCAGACATTTCCTTCACACCTTGTATCTACTTCAGCCTATGGGGTGTTGGACTTCTCAGCAAACAGGTTGGAAAAAAAATAATCTGACTAACCGACTAGTGCTACTTCCAAATTAGCAGCCAAAGTGTGTTCATAACACATTCAAAACAAACAAGCCCACACATTACCCAGAAATTTTTCCCATGTTAACAATTCCAGATTCCAAACCAAATACACAACAACTAAACCAAAATTATGGATATCAAAAAGTAACACTTGAAACAACTCATGCTCCATATGAAACCTAAATTATTTTCTCAGCATATGAAAGTCATCAAGATTGCAGTCAAGCAAGCAGAAAACATAACTATGTGCCTCCAACACATTTCAGTAATTTTACCCAGGATCATACTACACAAGAGCAGTGTAGCTCTTAAGTTATCAGAATGGTTGCTTATTTAAGCTATGCAAGAAATTGCTGTCAGAATCATACAGAACTTCTGCACACTACATAAGAAATATTTTCCAGGCTAAATAAAATGTATTTACATTATTTCATGAAACTAAAAAAAAATACTAAATTTCAAAGATGAAGGATACACCTACCCCAAAATAAAACAATGCCTTTGCAAATGGGTCAATAGATAGCTTTCCTTCATCTTTTATGCTACCTCCAAAGTACTTCAGAATAAAACATATTATCATGGTGAAAAAATGCTCTTTAACACCATACATTGCTGTTGTTTCACCTTTGTCTAATTCATTTTTCCCTAGCAGTTGAGAAAACACTCTCTTTTTTAAGTTAAGCAAGGCATGGGAAGTAAGAAAAATGACGCATAAAGAATCAAACTGCTAATTATTCAAAAAGAAACACAATATGAATATAGGGGGAAAAAGTACCAAAAAGACTGCTGTATGAAGGCTACTTTATGCTTAGTATGACAAAACTTGGAAGATAGGTACACTTCTCTCAGCTAGCTGCAGTAAACTTGAACCATTACCTAAAGTCATATGAAAAAAGTTACAAATTTCAAGTTATTAGCTTCTCATCAAATATTTCACAGTAACAAGCTCAAGTGCTTCCACTGAACAGAATTCAACCCCTAAGCTCTCAAATGCTATAGTTTGAAACACTTACTTTCCTGAAAGTCTTTCAGCTATGCGTCTGAGCAGTCAAATATACCTCTGACTTCAAAAGGGGCATGGGATTCTTTTATAAGCCAATCACATAGAGAAGGGATTTTTGCCACAAGTCAAAATTCTTACCTTTCTGTAGACTATCATGTTTGGAGAACTCTCCTCTGGGTCAGCAGTTTCCGCACTACTCGGATCAGTGGGTGCTTGGGCCATGTTTGCCTCTCGTCGCTCAGCCTGCAAGGACAGGAGCAAAACTCAGCATCACTCCAGGCTGCAATGGAGCATGGTAAGGACGTGCAACTGCCTCCTAGGCAGACATACAAGGATGGTACAGAGGGAATCACACTCCTGTCTTCCCCCTATGCAGGATTTTATCACACTGTGCCAGAACTGACTGGTTTATGGGATAACAACCCAAGAACAAGGACCACCAAGTCACGCACAGCTGTGGTTTGGGTCATCACATGCACACACTTCTCCCACAGTTCTGAAGTTGTATCATAAGCCCTTAGTCAATAGAAGAATATCTAATTAATACTTCACACACTTCCCTTCCTCACTATAGAGCACAAACAGCCTGTACTGTTCTAGAAGCTTTGAGGTAACTACAAAGAAAAAGCCAAGGCACCTTGCTGTGAGGCAGAGCGAAACCCCACTGTGACAGGCAGGTGCAGCAGCCTGTCAGGCACACTGACTGCAGCTTCTCACCTGCAGACGCTCCAAGCCCCTTCCAGCTCTCCATGGCCCCGAAGCAGCAGCCAAGAACCAGGGAGGCACAACTGCTTGCTCAGAGTAAACAGCTTCCCTCACCTCTTCTCATGACACAGCCAGCAAAGGCAACAGGGTACAGGCAGACAATCACACATAATACTCCTATCTTCTAGAAGCACAGAACTGGAACCACTGCCTCATCTCCTCCAGGTCATACCACCCTTGAGGCCAAAGCATCATTAAAAAAAAAAAGAAAAAAGGGTCCTGGTGCAGAGGCAAATGCTATATTTTAAGTTTTACTTCCACCAGCACATTTGACAAGTAACATTTAAATTAGAGGCTGCTGTGGAGCCATGTGGTGACCTTTCCTAACCTAAGAAGTAACATTGCCTTGTACAGACATTGGCATTAAAACTATCTGACAAGTTCAATTTCTTTAACATTGAAAGTACTGAAATATCCCATCTCAACATATTTCATTAAAAACTGAGAACTAAAAAAAAAATCTATGTTCACATGAGCATAACTTATATATTAATTTCTAAAACACAGCTCATTATTAAAAAAGATTCTTTCCTACTCCTTCCTTTACCCTCTTTCACATTGCCACAGGCAACAACGTGCCCTAGCATATAATATACATACATAGGACACAATTATATGTATAATACATCCCTGAGCCATTCTAGCTGTCAGTTATCAGCTCTCAAGGACAAGTCAAGAGGCCTAGAATCAGACAGGCTCAGACCATATTCCAGCTCTGTCCTTCCTCAGCAGAGAAAAGGCTACTGCAGTAACATGACATCCATCATTAGAGCCAGAAGCAGCTGACATATCCCGTTTAAGAAAACATCCATAAAACAGAAGTCAAATAATCTACATCAATCCAGAGACATTAATTTTTTTCTTTTATAAGGTATGCATTCACACACACACACACAAGTGGGCACAAATGCATATGTACATGCATATACCAATTTGGAAATTCAGTAATACAGTTCAAAGCTGGGTTTAACAATATATATAGATCACCCTTTAAATGCATGTTCAGACCAATTTAGAGACTCTTTTAAATTTAAATAATATAAATTTATTTAGACCTCTACTAAACCTCATGTCTTCCTAGAAGCCCAAACACTACACCATTGTGCCAGGTTGTGAGCTAAAGAGGAAATGAAATAAATTCTCTAAGCAAAATTATTAGATACAGAAACAATTAAACAGCACAAAGGATGAATGGTAAAATATTTTCAAATTATAGCACTTCAAATTATTTACACAAATGTGCATTTTCACAATACTTCTTGGTCATGATTTCAAGGCACTGAAGAATTAGGCTCTAGGTTATCATCACTCAATTGAATGGAGCAGGAACTGGGTTGAGATTTTATGTAACTTTCTAAAGGCAATTACAAAGCAGAGTTGAAAGCATATGTCAAGTCACACAAGTTTCAGCTTCACCTGCAGTAAATAAAGACCACATTCACCACTTATATTATGTGAGATTTTACATGCATGCTTTAAAAGAAAACAATTGCAACAACTGCAATTCAGAAATGCTCTTAAAATAACAAAATGACAATTTCTAACTGTAAAACCCTCTTCAGCATTACTTAGCTGTGCTTCACTCATTGCATTATTCACTTTGAACGTCCACATTTACAAATTCTGTTGTTCTTGTTATACTGTCAGCTCACTTGGTCTTTTTTGGTACTTCCAGATTTTCCCCATAGCACTTCTTGAAGCTTTTCATCTGCTCCAGTACAACAAGACTATAACATCATGTACAATATGCAGTAGTAGCTGGCATGCTGTTCACAGTGACATTGAGGGAGCCACTAACTTTGAAGATCTACACAAGCCTAACACGTAGATCTACATAACATCTACATAAGGTAATCAATACAAGTGAACCAATCTGTTGTTGGAAGTCAAATTTGCAAAAGTGATTCCCACGAGTGCCCAGCATCTGCTGCTAGACTTCAGCCAGGAACAGCAGGAGCAGAGCCACCTTTGTAAGAGTGACAGCAGGATGGACATCTCAGAGAACAAGGCTGGAGACAAGGCAGGACTGAGGTGCAGTGAGAAGCAGAGACAAGTGTGGGCATCCCATCCACACAGCCCTGGCTCTGCTGCTGCTGTGATGAGCCTTAGCAGGCCAAGACAGGGGCCCTGAGGAACTGTGAGGAATCTGACTATTCTCCAAGTTTTTTCTCTTTCCTTTATACCCTTTTTAAAAGCACAAAAATATTTCTCACTGGTATTCTACAAGAAAAACTACTGATGAAATAAGACAGCGATATGACACGGGCATGTTCTTGGCTCTTCAAGGTGAGAGCACAGCAATGCTGGGTCCCATGGATTCCACTACACCTGTGCTTTTTAACATATGGGAGCTTAGCACCCAGTGATGCAGGACTGCTTCACAGAACCACTGAATGGCTGGGGTTGAAAGAAACCACTGGAGGTCATCTGGTCCAACCTTCCTTCTCACACAGGGTTCCTGCATGTTACTCAGGATTGAGTACAGACAGCTTTTGAGAATCTCCAAAATTAAGAGAGACTCTGTAACCTCTGCAGACAACTGTTCCAATGTGCATGGTAAAGAAGTTCTTCCTCATGTTCAGGTAGAGCTTCCAATGCATCAGTTTCTGCCCATTGCCTCTTGTCCTATTGCTTTGGCACCCCAGAGAAGAGCTGGCTCCACCTCCTTGGTACCCTCCCTTCAGATACTTAAACACACTGATAAGGTCCTCTCTCAGTTGTCTCTTCTTGAGGCTGAGCAGGCCCAGCTCCCTCAGCCTTTCCTCACAAGAGAGATGCCCCAGTACCCTCCATCTTCACAGCCCTTTGCTGGACTTGCTCCAGGAGCTCCATGTCTCTCTTGTACTGAGCAGCCCATAACTGGACACAGCACTCCAGATGTGGCCTCACCAGGGCTGAGCAGAGGGGCAGGATCACCTCCCTGGACCTGCTGGCAGCGCGCTTCCGAATGCGGCTCAGGTTGCCATTGTCCTTCTTGGTCACAAGGGCACTGCTGGCTCATGGGCAGCTTGTCCACCAGGATCTCCATATCCTTCTCCAGAGAGCTGCCTGCTGCAAACACAGATGAGACTGCCCACAGTCAAAGTACAGCTTTTTTACCCTACTAAAATGTTAACCTGCTGCATTTGCAACCCTTTAATAATGTAAAAGTGTACAGAAGTCCACATATCATTCACACAGTCCTCTCTCAAGAAACAAACCAAAAAAAACCTACACAATTTTTTCCTCACTGTCATCCCAGTCTACTCCAGATGCAAGCAGGAAGTCAACCTTACAACACTACACAGCCTGGAAACAGTTAGTCCTCTGAATCTTTCTCTAAGCACATGCTTGTGATTTATCAGCCAGAAGTGAATCCAGCTTAGCCTTATAAAGAGATTTCAGCTACACTTAGCTGAGAAGAGTGAAAACAAAGATTTTATGTAGGTTGTTTTGTTGGTTTTTTAAAATAAGCCTCTAATTAATTAATTAAGACAGCCTCCAGCTCAGAACCTCACCACTTACCATCTGAAGAGTGCTGTCAGCTCCTCCCTCCTTTGGGCAGTTTGCTGTACTATCAGGGCTAACTCATCCCAGCCTGAAGCCACACACACGCAATCTAAATCCAAATGCATGTCTTCAAAGAAATAAATAATCTCTAAATTTCAAATATCATGTTCAAAGATTCTGTTTTCCCACAGCTGTTTTTCTGACAATAGCCATGCTTGCAGCAATCTGGACTCCTCAGCACCAAAAGTGATAAAAATTGAAAACCATTTGTGCTAACCATTCTCTCACTCTGCCATACACAAGAACAAAATCAGCAGTCTTTAACTTCTTAATAGATGGTCTATTAAGCCTTTGAAAAATATTACCAAAAATATGCTAAAAAGAGAGGGTGCATTCTCCTCTCACTGCTTTTTTCCTTTTTATGTTTTATTCTTTATTATAGAACACTTCTGCTTTTCCCCTAAGAAACATAAGCACACTGGATTAGACAGGCAGCTGCTGACAAAATGCACTGAATCACAGTAAGAGCTCTCTCTCTCGCTCTTATCTGATCAGGCTCCTCACTCTCCAAAATCCAGAAGCTGCAAAGAGATAAGGCTCCCTTATGTCATGAAAGGATGAGTGAACTTTAAGGTGGAGTAACCAATTAAAAATATGCTCTGAAAATCAAGAAAATTTTTTCTTCTAGTTTACCTTTTCAGAGTTTCTCATACAGAACTGTAACTAGAAAATTTCTAAGAAAACCACCTTTACATTTTAATCCACAAATACTGTCAGCATTTAATCTCTGTGTATGTGTAAGTTCAATGAAAGCATCTGAACAGTAAATTAGGAGATTCCCCTTAGTGTTCTCAAACACCTTGATTGCTGTCAGAAAAGACCATTGGAAACAAGACTGCTGTAAGAAACCTCTTACAGACACAAACCCCCATGTGTTCCATAGAAATTAACACATCTAGGAGTCCTTATGCACTCTGGGGTTTTTTACATAATAGAGAAAGAAAGAAGTACATTAGAAGAAATCCTGCAAAACTATTTCTTGAAAATATGACCTGGATTTAACAAAATAATACAAGGTCATATGTCAACTCCTATTCTGCATCATAATAAATAAATTGTAAACTACATATACAAAATTTGCAGCGCAAAAAATTTCTTGCATATGTGAGATAAAATAAGATAGTTTTTTAAAATCGGGAAAAACTGAAGCAGAGAAAACAGAATCAGCTAAATGAATTCCCATGGAGATATATATCAGGACTGTTAAGCTGGAATATAATTTTGGGTAACAATATGTGAAAACTACCTTTATGTTATGTAATTATATATTTCAAGGGCAGCTTATAATTGACACATAGTGTTAATATCAAATTATGAGAGATTTAGCGCTTTAGCACACAATCACAGATTAAATTACAATTTCATGTCATGAATACCTAGGTAATTTTTTTCTAATTAGTGAAATACAACTAGACTACACAACTTTTCATATGCCTGAGAAATCATATAACCACATGCCTTGCAGAACTCATAATTACCTAATAGGAAAAATCTCTACCTGATCTGCTAGAATATTTAGATCAAACAGGTCATTATTAAGGTGACAGGAGGGAAGAGACGGAAGGAAAAATCACACTGAATTCAATTAATCTCCATTAATATTAAGTTGATATTTCACATCCATTACATAAATCTCTCTAAAATTGCACTGGGAAGAAATACTTGTCTTCATATTCTTTTTCTGGTTAATTATTACTTCATTAAACCAGGACTTGGGTATGCCATGCAAGTTGTGTATACTGCAAGGCAACATACAGCCTTTCATCATTAAGCTGATCCTATTGGCCAAGGTGAATACACTAGCCAGTGGATCACCAGGACCTACCTGGGATATCCTCTGCTTTTCAGTGGTGTAGCTCAGTCCAAGCACTGCACAATTCACCTCTACTCCTCCTTCACGGCACTGCTCCCCTGCACTAGAGGGGCAGAGAGGGAAGTCTGCTTACAGGGAAGTATAACTGCCAAAGCACCTAAAAATCCTTAATTCCTTTCTTTTGGACATCAAATTGTAACTGAAGTTACTCCAAAAATAGTTTCCTAGTAGAAGATCATCCCAGACCTTCTGCCCCTCCTTGCAAGTGGTGAGCATTGCAGTACTATCAACAATACTCAGTCTGTTGCTTTTTTTAAGGAATAAAGTATAAACACTTCCAGCAGCAGCACTTAATGTTCAAATTTTTGCCAAACAAATTCCTCTTAGTTTGTGGGAAAGCAGTTTTGTTCACACTGGGTGAATTCAAGGGCTCTAAGGGACCCCATTCCTCCTCTTTCTAAGGTACAAGCTCAGAGGGAGCTCCGTGCTGAAGCACAGGGGCTCGACACTTTTCTCACTCTACAATTGGCAGGATGAAGGATGGGCACACATCTAGGCCAGGGAACACGCCAAAATGCTTTTACCTCAGTCTGAGAGAGCAGGAAGGGAGGACACAGTTCCAGGACACCCCCTTTTTCCTCATTTTAGGGAAACTGGGATCCTGATGAAGGTTAGGATTTCCCATTTTCTACTACTCTTACAGACATTTCCTAAAGGTGCAGTGCCCTTCCATAGCCAAGTGCTTCACCTGTGGAAAACTTGCCTCAGAACATCCTACAGGTATGTTTGCATTTCCACACAGTACTAGGGCAGGCAGCAAGCTCTGGGCTCCTGATCACCCACAGTGTTTAACTGCTGGTTTGCTCTCTTTTGTAGAGCTCCAAACCTAAGCAGACACACAGCTGGGAACACAGTTCTCCACCATCAGCACTTGCTCTCAAGAGTCAGCATGGATCATCTCACATAGAGCTGGGGTTCCTACCTCTTATCCATGTCTGCATCAGTCTCCCAATAGGTTCTGCAACGACCTACAGCTTCCCAACATGTCCCAAATCCTACAATGCATAACCTCATCCTTCTGGTGGGCTGCAGGAAAATCTCACTTTTTTTTAACATTATGCTTGAAAATAAAACCATCCACAACAATCACTGCATCTTCAGGCCACAGAGGTACCAGCTAAGGGCCAGGGGTCTGAGACCCCTCTGGCCAAGAATATGCAGTATGAACACAGCGATCTTTTAGACCAAAGTAGCTCTCACATGAGTCAATCCAAGTCACTTGGCTTTCTGCAGATACACACAACTTTAAACTCAGCCCCTGAGTAATCTAATGCGCAGATGCCTGTACTACTTCTCACCAATCACTTGCTCTTCCAAATCATGTACATCCATTAAGAAAAAAAAGGTAAATATTAATGGTTTAGTGGTCTAAGCAGAATATTGTTAACCAGGGATCACCAAGGCCTCATACCCCCTCCAAAAGGGTGCTCTCCATGGTCTTGAGCAATTTTCTCTCCATCTGAGACACCTGTGGCAGTGCTCATGCTGTAACTGTCCAACAGACAACACTCAGGATGGAGAGTTCCAGTTGTTCCATTTGTGTGAGCCACTGGTGATCAGACTGTGTCTTGATAAGCACCTGCCAAGTGACTGAGGCAGATCACCATTTCTTGATAGAAGTGAATTACTTTCCTCCCCATTTCCCAGTTTTCCACACACTCCATTTTGATTTTAAATATTTCTAAATCTGCACATATTCTTAGCTATTATAGAATGCTGAAAATACTGTCTGGATCTGGATGTTACATCCAGGAAACATAGGGTTGGAAGTCAAAAGTAATTTTTGGTATCTAACTTGACTAGGTCCTGACTTCCCAAGATAACCAGAAGAAAAAATGGAATAGAGATGGATTGTAGTGAATATTGACATACAAATTGCTGGTTAACTAGGTAATTTTTTCCCTTTACGAAATCAATTGTTAAAATGGGCACTTGCATATTACATTTGCTTTTAATGGACCAGAATTATGTTACAGCAAGAAGAAACTGCTTCCAATACATCCATTCCTCTTCCAAAGAATTCAGAAAAAAAGTGCAGCGTTCACCAGTAATCAATCTCCCTTCCGATAAAATAATACTGCTGTGAGCACAAGGCCTCTTGGAAAGGCTGTGAGCCAACACGCTGTTACCAAGGATAGCTACAAAGAATGTGATAGCAAGTATATGCTGAATATTTTACTAAAGCAAGTGCCAGTGCTATATAAATTTAGAAATGCAACGAGATAGTTACAGACCAACTTTGAACTTCACATGAATTGGTGATCCCAAACTACAGCAGTAATTATTCAGCACTATCAGCCTGCAAGGAGCAGAAGCTACAAAGGTGAAGCTGTACTTTGTTGTTTTGCAACAATGCCAACTTATTGTCCAGAATCATTCCCTGTGGAAAATGGGTAACTGTACTGATAATATAGAGCTTGAGGGTAGACTCCTAATCTATTGTCCAACATAAATCTTCTACTGGATCAGTTAAGGTGTGCTAAGAGCTTCCTGTTCTTTGAAGCTGGTCCATCAAATACACCATCTCTGAAAGTGCCTTGCCTTTACACACCCTAGGAAATGCTAATTGCAATTTCAGTAAGCTACTTCTGGGGCAGGGGCTGCACTTTGTATTTTACATTGTATCCAGTAAGCTGAAAACAACTGAAGAAAATTGATTCAAATATAAAACTGAATGAGGAGATGCGCAAAATAATGGATGCTCTAATACAGACTGGTAAGAAAATAATAAAATTTAAGAAAAACTAAACAAACAAAACACAGGCCTCGGTGCTGGTTAGATTCCAAATTCAAATTTACTCCACCTAAACTCCCTGTTCCCAATAGAAGTTGCTGAAATGAAGTTTCCCTTCAAGCAATCTTATGCAAGTTCACAGAAGCAATCCAGCCCTGCATTGATCAGTGACTACATAATCTCATTTAAAATGCCCCAAAGTGCTGAGAGTTCTTGCCGGTTGTTCATTCTCAAGATGATGGAAAATTGCAAGTACCCTTGCAATCAAATAAAATAGGAAATTTGCTACCCAAAAGCACAGGTGTCCTTGAAGATGTGGCACCATGAAATACCCTTGGTGCAAATGAACGCAACTGGTTGTACCCCAACTACTTCAAGGACATGATGCAATATACTGTGATTTCACTGCCCTGCTGTTTATCATAACAGCACACAGCCTTTTCAGATGCAAATTACAGACAAATCACTTCAGTAATTGCGATGTAAAAAGCACTTAAGCCACTCCTGAGTTAGCAAGCTCAAGTCCAAACACCACACATCCACGCAGTTCAGCAAAGCCTACAAATCCTAGTGCTGTGGTTCATTTAATCTGAACTTCATAATGCCACATCTGGAGTGCTACAAATACCAATGTAAGTTAGATACACTATAAATACTAATACACTTGACTATTGCAACTGTTAGAGTAAAATAGTCCTATTAAAGACAGTTTAGTTGAGCTAACACATGTCTCTGCCAGATTGCTTTTACACCAGTGAATGCAATCTAAACCTAGTTGCTCATCTGTGACACACGCAATTAGCATTTTTTTTTACAAAATGATAAATTAAATCACAATGAAATTAAGTGACTTCCCACATTCACACAACAAATCACAGAGCAATAAATTGGACATCTAAACCCTGACTTTCAAGCCATTAGTTATAATTTCCTTAACACATATCCTCACAGCATAGGAGGCCTGTAGCATGAGGATCTTTAACTACCCCATGAACATTTCACTGCTGATGCCAGCTCCTAAGAGCACAGTGAAAAAGATGAAATATTGTCCTTTACCATCAGGATAATGTTTAGTGTGTGTAACTGAAGATTCCTGCAAAAGTGCAGCATTAATTCCTTCTCACTGCCTCATGGTGCCCACCACCCCTGTGCAGGCAGTACCTGTGCTGCTGAGTCTAGGGATAAACAGCTGTTTCCAGCATGACAATCAGAGCTCCTGGGATGGCAGCGTCAGAACCTTATTGCTCACGGAAATCTTGATCTTCTTCTCTTTCCTTCTCTCCATATTCTTTGCCACCCGCTGCAGAGATGTTAAAAAATAGTACAAGATCTGATGCAACATAAGTGGGTAGCAGTAGTCTCTCTTGACTCCACAATCTTTCTAGAGCTTGACAACCAACAAGAAAAACACAAATTAGCTCCTCTTTCTTTCTCCTCTTCATAGATGGAGCACAACAACAGAAATTAGCTCATTCCTCAGTCACAATATGCTGGAAACACTCACTGAAATCTTGGAAATGCCTTTTCATGGTAAAACTTATATAGATTAAGAAAACACTATGGATACACTGACACTAATATCATCCTGTATAAACTTTAAATGCCACTATATTATTGAGGGCATGTTGCAATCAAACCATTTAGATCTCTCCACTATGCATCTATTATTACCTTTTCAAAGATATAAAGACACATCAAATTTTTCAAAGTACTCTAGCCACCTCTAAACCCCCATAAATCCACCACCACCAAAATGCAAGCAGCGTTCTCACAATCACCAGACAGAAAGTTAAAAGATGAAGAATGAAGGCAGAAATTTTAGGAAAAAAGTAGATTTAGAGGTGTAGGAACATAATAATTCAGTTCAGAATACAAAGATGTGCAACTATATGCAAGTGCTCAAAGATGACAAGAGCAAATTTTGTAGCCTGAGGAAGTCAGATGTGTAACTCCACAGGAACAAAGTGACTGACCAGATGCTTCTGAAAAAAACACCATCACCACCTACAGTTTCTGAAATGTGCTTGGCCAGCACAGCTCTGGTCAGCTTGTCTCATGCAGACCAAGCTGCAAATGAACAGGGTTAAATGTACTATTACACCTTCAGTAATAGCACAGGGCCACCATGCTGCTTGGTAACTTCACAAGGCAGAGTGCTATCTTACACTGCACTGGGGACAGCACTTCAAAGTCTGAATTGAAGAAACACCGTTCCAAATCATCAACATCATTTTCTTATTCTACCCAGGTTTTCTTTGTAATTATAACGCCACGGTGTGAATTGACATAAATAATAATGCAGCCGTGAAGATATTGAAAAGAGTGTCAGGAGGAGACAGGAGCACTTCAGTTCTGGCAATTAAGTGCAATATTTGTTACCTGAAATAGCCCAGGGCTGCTCAGTGAAGTGGACCTGTTTGTTCCTGGACCTCCTTTAGAGAGCCAAGGTGTGCTTCCAGAAACTGGAGCTCCAGGTAACGAGTACAAACAATACAATAACCCATCATAAGGGCAAAATTCTACTCTTGTAACATTGGGCATGGAAAGAGCAGTTTGCCCTTGTTCTGCTGCCATTGTACAACTGGGGTGTTTGATTTAGATATCAAAGATATACCCAGCAAAAACCCCTCTGTTAATTACCCCTCATACTTGAAAAGCTGAAGACTCATATCATCATTGAGGAAAGAAAAAAATCATCATCCCACAACACCCTTGCATTTGTGTTAGGAAGCCTGAGCCACGGCACTGCAAGATCCCCAAGTTTCACCACAGACTAACACAGCATCCCAACGCACCATGTTAAAACAACACACTGCAGCTATTTTCCCTTCCTGCTACAACACATATATTAGCTTCTTCTCTTCCCTGCCATCTGTTAGTTTGCTGCAGTCTGCTGGGACAGGACTGCCCTCTCCTTTTCTCCCCTTCTTGCCTGCTCGAATGGATGACAACAAAGCCAGGCATTTCCTGTCCATACACTCAGCTTTTCTCAGCTGCCTCAGAAGCATTACCAAATGCAGAGTTAGGAATGAAAAGTGCTCTGCTCACCTCTGCTGTACCAGTGTGCCCACCAGAATTACATGCTAGACACAGAAACACCTTGTAAGTGGCAGGCAAGGAGGTAACTGCTGCTTTAAGAGGACATACCTTTTAAGGACATACCTTATCCACGGTATCATTGTTTAAAACAGGTATCTGTACTATCTGCACCACAGGAACTATCAGAGGGAAACCAAGGTAAGCAGCATTGACAATTACTTTATGCAGCAATCTGCTGCACTTTTCTTAGAAGGGAAGGTTAGCAAGGAAAAAAACCCAGAAAAATCAGGTGAACAGCAATCTACTACTACCATAAACTTCAGTGTAAGATGTGTAGCAAATCACTGTTTTTCCCTCTAATACAGTTCAGAATGGAAAAAAGAATGTCTATCTAATCCATCACACTTGTAGGCAGTTAGGAAGGAAATGGGAATGTTTGTCATCAATTGTTCTATCAGTCAGGTCATTAGAAAAGGAACGGCTCATCTAAAAATTAAGTCAATATTGGCTGAGTCTAAACAGCTTCTTCAGCATTTCACACACATATTCAAGCAATGAACACTATTATTCTGTGCTTGTAACAATATGCCCCCAAGCCAATAACTGCTCTTCAACATCTGACCTCTTTTTAAAGTAGATTTTCAAGGAAGTATAGTGAAAGTGTTCCAAATCAGCTGGTGAGAAAGTATTATAGATCATTACCCCACAGTAAACAATTCCTAGTTCTGATCTGCAAGATTAGAATAAATCTAGCATTACAAAAAAAATTAAAGATAAAAAAGGAAACTTATTATATCAAATATACTTCTATTCAAAAATAAAAATAAATCCCACACTAACAGCTCACAAAGCATTTCCTTAAGAAACAAAGAGGAAAAGTAGGTTTCTTTGGGACGGGAAACCACCAATATCTGCTGCAACACACCAACACAAAGGTGAGTTTTACAGTATGAATTTATTGATCAAAGACAGATTTTCCTGCTTTCCAATCCCTATATACTGCCAGCCAGCAAATATAATTCAATCAAGAGCAAATTATGCATATCTTTGATTTCAGGGAAGCATCATGTAGCACACGGGCTACAACAGGGATGCAGTTCTGACAAGTCCCTTACAGGTCCGCTGAAGGAAGCCCCCGACTCACCTGGGCCGTCCCAGCGAGGGCAGCGGCGGTGCAGACGGGACGCCAAGCTCAGAGCCACCGGCGTAGGCAGCTCCTCGGAGCAACAGCCCCGGCTGCGATTACGTCTGCAGCGTACAAGAGGCAGCGCGCCGTTATTTATACAAAAATCAGCATCTTCCTCAGGAAAAAAAACCCACTCGAAGGTTCTTACTGGCCGTGTAACATACTTCTATACTTATGCCATCACATCTAGTGACTAAGAAGATGCTTTCAGTGTCACAGGAGATTAAGATTCTGGGAGGAGAGTGCCTGGCAGCTTTACTCTCACTCACCAATCTGCCTTCACGCAAACGCACTTTGTCGGCGGATGGAAGTGTATTATTGCAATACGCTAGCGAAACGAAACAGTTTCCAAGTTTTCCCACAGGGCATCAGCTCCCCCTTCAAGCTGCACCCCAGCGCTCGCTCCCCCTCGTCCATCCCCGAAAAGACCTGCAGTTTCTGGGCACCACAACTTGTCCTGCGTCCGCACCGAGCTCCGGCTCCCCGGGCGCTGCCCTCATACCTGCCGGGACACCGCGGGGCGTGGGCACCCCGCGCAGCCGGACAGCGCCCGGAGAGCGCCTCCTGCGCCGGGGCCCGAGCCGGGCCCTTCCCCCGGACCCCGCGGGAGGGCGAACGGCAGCCGCGCTGCTCTCGGGGTCCGCACGGCCCGGGCAGGGCACGGCCTTCCCCCGGCCGGGCACCACAGACACACACGTACCGCACACGCAGAACACACACCTTGCACCTGTCCGCTACTACCGACCGGGAGCGGACTCCCACCCCGGGGGCTCGGGAATCCCGCTGCCAGGGCACAGCCGAGTGACAGCCACTCGCCACATAGATGCGGATAAGCAGGAAAAAGACGGCGAGAGAGAGCAGCCCACTTCCATTACCTTAGCAATCGCGTCGCCGCCGTCCCCTGACACCCCTTCGCCTCTCCTCAGAGACGGGGAAGCGCCCGCAGCATGGCGTGAGCCTGCGGGCGGGGCCGGCGGTCAGCCCGGGGCTCCTCTGTGCGCCTCTTCCAAAAACCTCCCGTTCTCCTCAGCGCCCCTCCTGCTGCGGCGAGGACGGCGGCCGGGGCCAATCTGCCGCGACCAGAGCGCCGCGGGCACACTGCGCCCCGCCCGGCCCGGCCCGGCCCCTCGCTGCCGCCCCCGACCCTCCACCAAGCCCGCGCCGGGCGGGCGGGGGCGGGATCGGCCCCAGCCCCTGCCCCGGCCCCGGCGCTGCAGCGCTCGCTGCGGGCGGCCCGGGCGCGCCGCCCCCGCCCGGCCCCGGCGCCTCTTTCCCCAGTGCGGAGCCGGCCGCCCTTTGGCGGTGGCGTGCGGGAAATTCAGCTCCCGTGTCCCGCCACCCCGGCCGCTCCTCGGGCACTCGGCGCAGCCCTGAAGAAAGGCATGGAGACGAAGGCAAGCCTTGTATCTCTCTTACAATCTTGTTTATGTGTTGAGTCGCGCAATTAAGGTGTTTGGCTAAAGTCCTCCATCTGAAACCGGGGAAGCCTCATCTCTTGTTCACCTTCCTCCAACAGCCAGGATTCCCTAAATAACACCTGGGCTCTGCACACCACCATCGATCTTAACAGGCACTATAACTCCAGCAAAACAGCTTGGAGACCCAGCCCTTTTACACAGACCTGTCCCATGGGCAAGACACTGCTGTTGATTGGGATGAATTTCTGCAGATTAACTTCGTGGGCAAAGTAGCTCGCATACTTTTTAGGCTATTATCCACCGATTTTTCCAATAGATGAGATTTTTGTTCCTTTTTCTCGAGATGGCAAGTTAAGCCCACCTTGCCGCAAGCTGAGCCTCAGGTCTGAGAGCCCCGTGCTGGGATGCGCTAGGGCAGACCATTGACAGGAGGTGGCCACGCCCATCTCCGTGCCCAAGTTTGTGAATTTCCAAGGTCTGGTTCCCACGCATTAGACTCATTATTGCTGTTGAAACTCTTCACAATGAGGCTGTCAGCTGCACAGAGGAAAGGCTCTTTACCCACCCGTGTAGCCTGTTTTAAAAGCCCTTGTGTGGTGTCTCTGTTGCCTCAATTTCCTAACATCCTGGATCTTACCAAAGTCAGGTTTATATTTCATAAGCCCTCTGACACCAGAAGTTATCATGTGCAGGGATGTCCTGTTATGCTTTAGTCTGCCCAGCACAATTTCTGGTGATATCTGGTACACTGAACTGCTGCAGTAATTCAAATATTAAATTAAAAAGAAAAAAATATTTCTGGTTCAGCTATGCATCCCTTCCATTTTTACTGGATCCATATGTCTATCTTTACCATTACTGGCTTCCTTAGTCCTTACTCCTTCCTTAGTCTTTCAAATGCCAGTTTCTACCTTGCAGAGTTTATATGCTTCTTCAAAAAGGCCCTTCATCAACACAGACTATACATTTATTTCCCTGTCACACTCAAAATTGCATCTTAGTGGCAAAATTCTGCAGTTATGCCTCACACAAGCTCATTGACCCTGACTAGACTTTACAGAGTGTTGATTCAATTGATTTGTTTCAGATTTCAGCTGTGGGCATTTAAAAGCTTCTGTGGCAGGTTAAAACATTTTAATCTTGGTTGTTTTGTTCAAAGATGTACCTCTCAAACATCACAGCATATTTTTGGGATACTTTTATGAAATAAAATTAATCTAAAAAATATTGCCCTTTATATCAAGTTTGAATTTAAACTAATAGCATTCCCTTTGGATTAAACAAAGCATATTATATATTATTTGCCACACAAAGCTGTCTGGCAAAGGGAGGAAAGAGAGAATGGCAACCTATGAAATAGAGATTTAATTTTTTAGAGATTTTCTCAGCAAAGCATTTTAAATCACTAGTTACATTGAGTTATGCTGGGGTATGACTACATGTAATAGTAGTCAACGGGGAAGTATTTCAGTGTCTTATATGAGGTCTGTTCAGGAAAAACTCTACACAGTCTGCTCTCACAGCTCCCTCAAAGGAGTGTGCGTGCAGTAGCCAACAAATCTAAGTACTTGAATATATCAGACTACAAGGTAAGTTCTATAGAAAGGCTGTTTTCAAGGTAGAAGACAGATAAAAATGTATTAACATTATAATTCAAAGAAATTACCAGTATGTTTTCTGGAAGTATATGCAGCCTAGTATTACCATACTCCTGCAGCCCATGATGTTGAGAAAGGAAGGTGAATGGGAACATTAAAGCAAAAGTGACATCTATGCTTATTTTAATCATGCTCAGCAGAAGAAAGTGTAACCAAAAAGTACAAATAAAAGCAAAGGCAAATTGGCTCCTCTCAAGTAACAATGATTCTTTGGTCCCTAGAAGTAATAAATGGTATGAAGCAAAATGGCACAGCAACATTATTTACTTTCATACATTAACTACTAAAACAAATGATACATAATTAAAACCTGATAAAACTGAGCCAGCTTTGTATTTACATTGATCCTTATGCTGAAAACAATGTAGTCAGACTTGGTTCATCACAGCAACCGTTTCTCAGTTTAGCCTCTTTCCCAGCAGGAGTCCAGCAGTTTGATGAGTAAGATCAGAGATGCACAAACAGTTCCATTTAGATCAGTGGGACATCTCAAGCTGATGAACTATCCATATACAGCAATGTTTGCAGAAAAAGACCTTGCATCTGAAACACTGCTATGCTTAGTAAGCACTGGAGAAGAATGTGTGGGGAGGGACTATCTGCATTTTTCTGGCCAGGAGTGTAGAGTTTTATTGTTCCCTTTCCTCTGTATTATATGCTGAGATCTGAAAGCCAGAAGAAACAACCATGGTCCACACCAAGTATGGAACACCACTTGTTCTTAATGATACATCATTAAAACTGAAGAACCTAAAACTGAAGAGCTAGGATTTTCATTTTCCCTAACATTTCCTATTGAAAGTATTTGTTCAGCTTTTCTTTATCCCAGACACTGATTTCAATGACAAAGCCACACATTGTATAAAATATCTTCTGTTGAAGACTGCAGTGGTATAAAACTTCCCTCATGCCCAGTAATGCTGTCCCAAAGCTGTATTATCCTCATTGCTGTAAAGAAGTCCTTTTTTCAGCTTCAGAATGCATAACTTTGAATCCCTGCATATAGTGGCTGACATTAGCGTTACACATGCTCACAGGGCTTCTGCTAACTCTTACTCACAGCTCAACAGTGGGAGTCTCCAGGGTATTCCAGCAGATTCTTTACATGGCAAAGAGTCACAGCACAGCATGCTCCCCTGTGATCATCTGAAAAAAGGAGGAGTAGATATCGCTAACTTTCCGCCAGTAGCATCCTTCTCTCCTGGTGCTTGAAAAGCTCAGAAAGGCAGAAGCTGCTGCAGCTGCAGTGGTTGCAGTGCTCTGAGGTAGGGCCAATGTTTTCCTTTCAGTTTGCAAACCAACAGCATTGTTGATCGAATGAGTAAGTGTTACCCCATAGCACTTACTTCATAAATATTCAGTAGCTGTTAATTACAAGAAAAAATGGAGCTGCTGGCTCGAGGTGAGTGCTGAAACGTCACTAAAGCAGCGCTTTTTCTCACGAAGGCAATAAAGAGAAGTAAGTGTCTCTCTCTGGCAGAGGGCATGAAAAAAGCAAAGAGGTTTTCAGAGTTGTTCAAGGCAGGTTCTATTTTTCATAAAATGTTTAATTTAACAGTGACCTAGTTTTACAACAGCTTTCAGTGTCTTGGCTTTTCTTATCTCCTGTGTCTTAGCCTACATCATTAGAAGAGCAGAGCAATAGGCTTTACAGATTTTGTTAAAGCAAACTTAATAAGGTCTTGCCGGGTGGATTAATTCTTCTCTCCTATTTTGTTTCAGGCAGTCATTATGTTACAGTTTCTTTGTACTTTTAAAGAGGTTTTAGCACATCTTTTACAGATTTTTTTAAAAATTTCAGCTCAAAGCCCTTAGCTTATTTCATGTTACTTTTCTGAGTATCAGACTGCAGAGACACTCTTGAATTCCTCAGCCTTTTTACAAAAAGATCCTTTGTTTTGTAAACATTAACTATATTAAATTGGTGGCTAGCTTGACTAGCAAATTTGGACATTTACAGGCAGTACAGACTCATGCCTGCTTTCAGCAGGAGCAAGTCAAGGCATGCCATTAATTTTACTTACCTTACTTCACCTACCAGAAAAAAAAAGTTATTGTGCAACCTGTTATTGTGACCAATAAACAGCAGGTCAAGTGATGCTTGCTCCCTTTTTCACTTTGTTCTACATTCAGTGCTCTCAGATACTGTTCCATGGTACCTCTCTGTGATTCCTAGGCTGCCTTAATGGAATT